AAAAAAAAAAAAAATGAAAAAAGACAAGACAAAACAAGAAGGTGGCTGCTGCAGGGGGGACCCAGTGACTACTAGGGCTCTGAGAACTCTGACCAGGGCCGGTAGGTCAGGGGGACCCACGTCCTCCCCTCAGGGACAGTCTACAGGCCCTGGCTGGCAGTGAGGGGCATACAGTTCAGGCAGACGGTGACAACATCTAGCTATCCAGAGAGCACAAGCTCCTCTTGGGCTGGCCAAGTCACCTCATGGGGTCCTTCCTGGAGAGAAGGAACAAGAGATCAGCATGTCAAATGTGCCTGGGCCTTCCTAGAGGTGCGGTTAGCCCTCAGCTCAGCACTACCAGTATGTCGTGGGTCTGCCACCACTTTATCAATGTGAGGACTCAGGGTCAGAAAATACCCACAGTCACAAAACTCCCAGGCAAGGAACCAGGATGGACCTACCTCCCAGGAGCTGCAGCCCCCACCAGCCCCCAGACTCTGCTGCCAGGCCCACCCTGCTCATTGGTGCATGGGGCAATCACCTCCAAGACATTCACCAAGCACTGCTTCACACCTCACATCTACTGATTCACCTCAAACTCAAAACTGGCACAGTTTAGGAAGATGAGTGTTAGTATCACCTCCTTGGAGAGCTACAAGGCCTAGGTCCAGACAATCAGGCATCCAGTCAAAGCTGCCAATTGGTAGAAAGCAGAGCCCCAGAGCCCCCCACTCCTACCTGCCCACTGCCTGCTGCCAACGGCCCTTGGACCCAGCTCCAGTCCTGCACAGGGCACTCCCACTCTGCCTACCACAAGGCCACCTGCTCTGTCTTCATAGAGAATTGCCAGTGCTCCTAGCTTTGCCCACAACACAGGCCCCTGCCCCACCTACGGCTTTCAGGTCCAGGCACCTAGCTGTAAAAATGTTCTCTTTATACTCAACCTCCTCAGACAAGTGAGGAAGATCTTCCCTTGGGATATGCCCTAGGGAGGGACACTATGGTCACTAGGGTTATGCCCTCAGGCCCAGGCAACCAATGCCACCTGTCTTGACCATGGCAGCTTGGAAGTCCCTGAAACACCTTGGACTCAAAGTACAAGTTCCCAGATCCATTCAACTCACTGGACAGCCGTGGAGGAGTCTCAGCCTTGTACACCTGCCCAGCAGATGCCACCTCTGGAAACGATGGTTCTGGCAAGTTAAACAGACCAGGGATACCCTTCTGGGTGGGTGCACCTAATAGGCAGGGCAGGGGGGGAGTGACCTGCTGAAGGGGAAGGAATTGCCAGAACCCTGACAGAAACCAGAAGGCCACGTGGCTACCAAGAGAGAGCAGAAGGCTGGTGTGTGCAGAGGGCCTCAAATAAGTCACCTTATGTGACTTGTGTGTGTTCACTTGACACACAATAAAGCATTTCCCAAAAGGAGGGGAAAAGAGGTTCTTTCAGTGTCTTTGAGGTTTGAAAGCTACAAATGTCCACCCCTATGGGGAACCTGGGTGTGTGTGTGTATGGTTGCTCCTAGACTCATGTGTGATTTCTAAAAAAAAAAAAGGAGGGTAAAAGAGGGTTTACTATAGTATCCAACCTGCAACCCACAGGCCACATGTGGATTATGTGAGAACCTTTTTGCTTATCTATAACACAAAAATTACGCACAGACCTTTTTTTTGCTCATCAGCTTTCATTAGCATTTTTAATGTGTGGCCCAAAACAACTGTTCTTCCAATGTGCAGCAGAAAAACTGAAGTAAAGGTTAGATACCCCCGGGCAGTATTTGTGCTGCTGGGAAAAAATCAGGACACTGACCCAAATGTCCACTGTAAAGAAAACACACACCCCACAGGCAGTATCTGCTCTTAGGGAGTGACTTATTCACCTTTACAGCAATTTTTAAAATCCTAAGAGAAGGACTCAGGGCCTGAAGCTCAGTGGTTAGGGTGCCGGCCACATACAACTGGGGCTGGAGGGTTTGAACCCAGCCCAGACTTGCTAAACAACAGTAACTACAACCAAAAAAGAGCTGGGACTCGGTGCCCGTAGCTCAGTGGTTAGGGCGCCAGCCACATGCACCAGGGCTGGCAGGTTCAAACCCGGCTTTGGCCTGCTAACAGCAATGACGACAACAACCAAAAAATAGCCAGTGGCTTTGCACCTGTGACTCAAGTGGCTAAGGCACCAGCCACATACACCTATGGTGGCAGGTTCAAATCCAGCCCGGGCCCACCAAACAACAATGACAGCTGCAACCAAAAAATAGCTGTGGTCCCAGCTACTTGGGAGGCTGAGGCAAGAGACTCTCTTGGGCCCAGGAGTTGGAGGTTGCTGTGAGCTGTGATGCCATAGCACTCTACCAAGGAGGACAGCTTGAGGCTCTGTCTCAAAAAAAAAAAAAAGAGAGAGAATCAGAGAAAGATAGAAGGACAGAGAGGGAGAGAGAGAGAAGGAGAGAGGGGAAAAGAAAGAGAGGGAGAGAAAGACAGAGGGAGAGAAGGAGAAAAATCGAAGGAA